TAGTAACTATGCTTTATCATTCTTTTTTCATCTACTCTTTGTCTGATTGGGACTGTTGTGGTTCAAAGGAACATCCCCTTAGAGAGCAATGCTGAGGAATACTTTCTGCCCTATCAGTGGTGACGTGGATTGCAGATTCAGCCTTGCATTAAACCTCTTTAGAAGGAGATGCAACTTGTCAATAGCATGTAAGATCCCTCAGAGTAAAGGCAACACACAGCCCTGGACAAACAGGGAAATACTATGTCTCTAATACCACGGCACTTCTCCTTCTTGAACAACATAGCTAATCTCTTTGATAGTGATTAGCTCATGACATAATAGAGCTGTCTCCTATTGGGCTGACTGTACTTGTTAGGAGATATTTATCATCAGGTTGCCTTCCTGCAGTTCTCTACACTGCTTGCTTTTTATTACTTATTAGCACCTTCTTGGGAGATTTAGGCAGGGAAGGATGTAGAGCAAAATTCTGTCATTATGTGAAAAATGGTATCAGGGAGAAGCTTTGAAACCATGATTCATTCATTTGGGCACTATTTGGAGGAGTTCGGTAGGACAGATGGCATTCATGGAAGGATGGAGGCTATTTTTCGAAGCAAGTATGGAAAGAACTGATCATGTTTGAGTAGAGAATTTTAAGATCAGTAGGGAAATGCCTATTCTCTAAAAATTCCAGGAACCTAATAGCTCCTGGAGGGCAAAGAACATTTTTAACAAAATTCGTAACACTTGGCTATTCCAGAAATCCTAGTTTCCACTAGTATTTTGTAAGTGGTTGCTTTACAGAAAAAGGGTTAGCTGAGTTCTGAGCATTTCCAGAAAGTAATATTTAGAGTTCCAGAGAAGTAGATTTTACCACAGTGTGAAAGGGTAGAAGGGCAAACGTTCCAAGTGGGACATAAATAGCTTCAGAAGTAACCCACTCTCTTGTTGCTATGTCTAGTCAGTAGAGGCAGTAATATTAACATCGTGAAGATGTAAGAACAGACTATCAAAAATGTATGTAGGACATGGCACAGCATCTGCCACATAGCAGATCTTCAAAGAAAATAAGCTAATTAGTAGATGGTAACTCACTAACAGGCATGCCCACTAAGGGATGGAGCTGATTCAAGCAGAGATGTAATGGATGATTACTGATTTGACAAAATGACCTCCTGGGACTCATCTGACTAGAAGAGCCTGCATTATCTGGCCAGGAGCTTTGTCTGTCCTTCCTGAGATTGCTCCATTCCCATCCTATATCCTGGGTATCTGAGTGTTAGTTTCTGCAGAGGGACTTCTGATCTGTAGATTCATTGATTCCATGACTTAATATATAATATTTTTGCTTGTTGGAATCAGTCATTGTTCCTCTTTCCGCCAGAAACACCATTCCTTTGTCAAGGAGCTAAGATCAGAGTAGTCGCATGTCAACATTACAGAATCCCTTTGAGTATGGGGCCACCTCCTCCCCAAACCAACAAACTTGTCTATGTACATGAAAGGGACCCGTTTGTGGTATCAAGCAGATTTCATATCCTTATCAGAGAAAAGGAACGCATCACATATCTTTTTCTGTAGTAATAAAAGATGATTTACGTTTATATACAATCCACACTATTAAAGGTTAAAAGCCAAAGCTTTTAAAATTAGCTAAAGAAATCGAAGTTGCCACTGGTGTCAGCATTTCATCATCCTTCTCCTCACCTGTATAGACCACAATATGCTTTTATAAAGAGTTTCCCATCATCTCTTTCAACCCTCAAATTATGTTTGAAGAGAGGGAGGTCAGGTATCTTTCCCCCTTTTCTTCATAAAAGACAGGCTCAAGAGAGGTGAAGTGAGTTGTCAGTGGAGCCAATTTCCTGAGCAGAGGACTCCTCCCTGTGCCAGGAGATTATGGGCATTGAAGCAGGAATTTACTAGCCTGCTGCTGGACTGACACAAGGAGTCTGTTAGGTATCAAGATATCACGCACAGTTTCATTTTTTCTTTATTTTTATCATGGAGCCATGTTGCTTTTTGAAGAGAAATTGTGTTGCATCTAGCTCTCTGTTTTGTTTGTTGTGGAATATGGGGCCAGTGGGCCAGCTGTCCTCACCTATTGTAGTCCTTCATCTTTTGATTTTTTAAAAAATTAATTTTATTAGTACATGGTTGCAATTCACATGATTTACAGTCATCTTGGGGAGTGGTTATATGTGGGGAGGGAAGAGGTAGAGGATTAGAAGAAAAAAAAAGCTATAACATCTCTTGATTTTTGAGTGTATTCCACTAATCACATTTGGAGAGCTGCCCGTGCTGCCCAACCCTTCACTCCAGATGGGAAAACTGAAGTCAAGATTATTGAGCCTTACACAGTGAGTTTGTGGCAGATCTTTGAATGCTTAGTGCATTCTTTGTATACCTTCTATCATCAGATGCTTTTGATTCAGTTGATGAGTTTTAATGCTGAAGACCAATACTGACTAATAGAACTTTTTGCAGTGATGGTGATGGAAAGAAATCACTTGCAATGGAAAGAGTATACTGAGAATATCAAATGGGATTAGCACATAGAGAAACTGTGTGGTAAAACTAAATTTAATGTAAAGCTCAAAAGCCACAGGTGGCTAGCCACTGCCCTGTTGGAGGCTGTAAGCCTAAAACAGTGTATCTCAACTTTGGATGTACATTGGACTCACCTGGCAACTTCATAGATATTGTATCCTGGGTTTCATTGATTTTATTTGGTATAGGTAAGACAATGGAGAGTGCAAGGCAGCCTAGTAGATTCTGATGCTCAGTCCAGATGGAGAAACACTAGTTTATGCATTCAGTTCCATAAGGGCAAAAACAATGTCAGTTCTAGGCTCCACTGTACCTGATGGCAAGGAATTGAGTGAGGAGTTCGCTATCATCCAAAATCTTACAGAACTGATATAATCTGGGGGAGAGGAAGATGCAGTCAAGGGGAAAGAATTATTGGAAATGTAATGATTAAATTTTAGAAAAGGACAATATGATCCAAAGAAAAGGAAATGGTCATTTCTGTCTGAGGCAGGACAGTGGTAGAGGGTGTCTCCTGATGTAATAATCCTGATAATAAACTAAAAAAGTTATTTCTTTTTCCAGAAATGCATATGGAACAATAGATGTTTCTTTGAAGGCAGTAAAAATTCATGTCTGTAATTCTCAATAGGATTAACCTGAGATTATGGAAAATCTAATTAAGCAAACCATATCGTTTGAGACCAACAAAAGGCCCTTGACATTGCCTTTGAAAGTCCTGCCTATCTGAGAATGCTTGGTAAATGCCTCAAAAGATCTTTCACATACAAGGTACTCGACAAGTTTGCTACATCCCATTATTTTTCCTTTATCCTTCACATTTTAAAAGAGCCCATCCCTTCTGATAAATGGCATTGATATACTGAAAAGAAAGAATTAGGCTTCAAAGATTATACTATTTGAAGCAACAATAAGATTCTTATGAGGCTATTGTTGGTGTCTGATTCCTAAAAATACAAGGGGTGGGATACCTTCTACATTTAAATACACAAAAAAAGCCATTTTTAAAAAATGTGGTGGTTTTAGTTTGCTCTTAGCAAATAGTTGCATTAGGAGAGTCTTCCAGAATAGCCCACCCAGACTCTGGGGAAGATCAAGTTTTCCACAATTGGAAGCAGCTTGACTCTCTGCATGCCTCACTCCTATTTGGTGGCATCCACACTTTCTGATGAAGCTGGGCAGATGCGTGTGGAACTCAGTGGATGGAGGGGAAGGTCACGGGATGCACTTCTCAGAATTCTAAAGCCTCTGGCCACTGTTGATTTGAGGCGCTCTCTCCCCTGGCTTTAGTAATTATTTCAAATACCACATCAAGCCTTTGTCAGTTATTAAGGCCACTTTGGGACAATTCCTCCTGCACTGTTTATAAATGAAAAACAGACTGTTTGACTGTGGTTCTCTGCAGGACATCAGATTCCATAGAGAATATGCAGATTATTGTCCCTTGTCCTATTCTCCTCTGACAATTACTTAAGAAGCCTTTTCTCTTATTGAAACTGGGCTGTTTGTTTTCATAGAAATGGTTTAAGATGGAACACTGCTTTGAAAATAGATTTTGGGGAGAGAGGGTAAGTTTGATGCTATAAAGATTATCTCATATGTTAATACTTTTCCTCTCCTTTGTTTTTCCTCTATAATGTAAACAGTTGAGGTTTTTCTCACATTGCCTTTATGATTCTGGATAAGTTATTTGTCTCTGTATATAAAGTTTCCTATTTGCCTATTAACATTAAAGGCTCATAGCTCAAGGTCCCTACCTTGTTGTTTGATTCTGAACTTTGGAAACTTACTAAGACACAACGTCTCTAAACTTGAAGTGGAAATGCTTGCATTGGTGATACCTATTCTTAGAAGAACCAACATTTGAGTGTCTATGTCCACGGGCTTCACAAATATTAACATGTTTAAACCCTGATGTTCTTTGTTTCTACACCAGCACTTCTGCTGAGGATCAGGGTGCTGCTATGATCCTCTTCCTGTCCTCTCACAGTTACGCAATCCTCCATGCTCCTCTGTCAGTTCAGTTCCCAAGGCCCTCCACAGCTGCGTGGTTTGTGCCCATTTCCTCCACCTGTGCCTTGTTTTTCTGGTTCATAATTCTTCTCACCTGAGCTATTGTGATGGCTCTAGGAAGTCTTCTTTGATTACTCTCCTCCATCAAGATGCTTCAGAGTCTTCTAATTCTACACTGTCCCATATGTGGCTGCCACGCTATTGAAATGTGGCTAGTCTGAGCTGTGCTTTAGGTAATGTTACGGTTTAAATTTAGAATATTCTTCAAAAGCCTCATGTGTTCAGGGGTGGGGCTTTTGTTAGGTGAGTGAATTATAGGGGCTCCATAACTGACTTGCTATTAGGAGGTAGGGTCTTGTCCAAAGAGGTGGGGCACTAGGGGGGTGACCTGGAAGGGAATATCTCTTTCCCTAACTCCTTCCTTCTCTCTTTGCTTCCTGGCCATGATGACACAGGAAGCTTTTCTTTCCCTACACCCTGTTTCTGCCTTGGAACTGGTGGACTATGGACCAAAACAGCGAGCCAAAATAAACTGCTCCTTCTTTAAATTGTGAGTATTGGGTATTGTGTCCCAGCAAGGGGAAAGTAATTAAGACATGTATAAAATGCATACTAGACAACAAGAAATAAGACAGGCCAGTGATTTATATATTGACCACATGTTAAAATGATACAGCTGGGAGTGTACTGGCTTAAATAAACTATGTTGTTAAAAATAGTTTCACCTGATTTTGAACTTTCTAAGAACCAGGTCTTGTAGAATATTCCAATTACACATGTTACATATCTTGTAATTTTATTAGACACCCCTAGTCTACTGTATCTCAGCCCCTCATACGTGTCTATCATTCCATTTAGCAATCCCTATTAGAAGTATGGGCTTCTTGTTTCCCATTAACAGACAGTGAATCCCCAGTGCTCTTCAAGAAGCAAGTACAATGTATCTATAAGCACTGCTCAGGGCTCATGTGTATGTTTATATTCCCTTGCAGATTGAACAACATCCCAGACTGATCTTAGCTAGCTACTACATACCAGGATGTGTTCTGCATCACAGTAATGAGTAGCAAAGAAAAAGCTCTTGCTGTAATAGACTATCCCTTGCTTGAATGCTCACCATGTGGCAGGGACTATACAGTTTTCTCTCTGCATCATCTTAGAGCACCCCCTTTGACACTGGTCCTATTGCATTTCCCATTTTCCAATGTGGTAGCATGGAGACCTGTGGAGACTGAGTCAGAGGTTCAGTGAGCTCTGATCCCCCAGCCCCATTTGACTTCTAGGACAGTTTTCTTAGCTGTTTTGTCACTGATGCTACTCCTCACTTTAGTTTCCCTTGTGCACTTTTGTTACGGTTTAAATACAGAGTGTTCCCAAGAGACTCATGTTTTGAGACCTTCACCCCAATTTAGCAATGTGCACTGATAGGCATAGAGAGGTGATTGGATCACAAAGGTGCTTAGGTCAAGTGTAGTAACTGGATCACAAGAGTGCTGACCTTATCAATTAATCCAGTGATGAGTCTATAGCAGAATTGGCAGTTGAGGAAAGTAGCTTATGAAGGGTAAATCTTATCCATGCTTCCTGCCTCTCTGTCTGGCTTGCTCACTCCCTCTGCCTTCCATCTCCCATGAGGTGAGCAGTTTTCCTCTGCCATGTCCTTCTGTCACAATGTTCTGCCTCACAACAGGTCCAGAAATAGTAAAGCCAGCTGACTGTAGCCTGAAATCTTTGAAATCATTAGCCAAAATACGCCTTTCCTCCTTGAAGTTGATTTTACCAGGTATTTTGTCATAGCCATAGAAAGCAGACTACTAACCTCTAACACCTCGGAGTCCACCAATCTCCTGAACAGAAATCCTTAGTGGATCCCATTGTCCGTAAACAAACTCATTCTTGAGGCTCGGAATCAAGACTTGTTATGTGAGCAGGGCTTCTGTATTTCCCAGACTCAGCTGGCACTTTCCCCATTGTGTGCCATATAACTGAGGCTCCTGGAATTGTGTAGGGGCAGGCTCCACCTTCACAACTACACGAGCAGCTCCATCCAGGGAAGGTCAGTCTGTCAGCAAAGTACAGACTCAAAGACTCCTCAAGACATGGAAGTTCCAGCCTCCCATTTCATAGAAGGAGAAACGTAGTCCTGAGGAAGAAGTTTTTTTTTTTCCTAAAGTTGGGCAGCTATTCACTCACAGAACCTGTGCAAAATCATATGCATCTTGACTTTTGGTCTAGAGAGCTTTCCACTGCCCCCCTGTTCTTTGGAAACTCAGAGGAGAGGAAGGCATTTTGTACTTCTAAAAAAATCATCTCCATAACTGCAGCATTTCACCTTTGACCAGAAAATCTGCCTAACTTTCATTATTATCATAGTTTGCTATGTTTGCTGTTTTAATAATAAAATAAAGTACTCAAGTTAGCCCATGTGCTGGAAGTTTATTTTTATCTGAATGATAGAGCATTGAGGGTGTCTTCATAGAAATTCGGAAAGAAGAGATCAGTAGGACTGGTCCCATGGAGACAACAGCTGAAGGGCAGCTCCAGATTCTTCAAAAATGGGGCCACATATTTTGCCATTTGCATGGCTTAGGCACAGAGGCCATATTTATTTCTTTTGGTTTCAACCTGGCTTGTGCCACTGAAACCTGGGCCATTTGATGTCACTTTGTGGCTTCTCCATCTCTGAAATGCCTTAAATCCTGCCTGTTTCAGCTTCCTCACAGGAAAGTGTACCTACTTTCTTTCATTCAAATTCCCCAGAGAATCTGATTCATCTAGTTTATCATTTTGGCCAGGTTATACATGTTGAAACAATCAATGATCGAAGTTGGTTTATGGTTGGCTTGTCACTGCAGTCTGTGGGCCTGGTTTACTCAGCCATGTCTCAGAGCAGAGTGGAAGGAAGCTCCAAGCATTGCAGGTTGTGAGCATGGCATTTACTGAGGAAAGGCTGCAGGAGCCAGGTATCAGAAGTCAGGAGAGCCGGGCATGATATGTTAGCACATCACCTCCAGAGGTGTAGACACCGATTCCTCTGTGCTTTTGTCCAGTGATGTTTACAGTGCTCACATCACAGAGAGACCAAGGTCTCTTCATTGAGGACAGCCTATAGACTGGAACTTCCTTGATGCCTACCTACTCCCAAGGTCCCCCGCCACCCAGGCCTGGCACTGTGAAAAGTCATCGCCAAATGACGGAATAGGCAAATAAAGAAAGCTTTGTACATATGAACTGCTCAGAGACAAAGGGAGGTTTATATATAGGCCTTTCATATCACAAATGATGTTACATTGTGTTAAGCATCTGTTTATCTTTGTCACTTTGCCCTAATCTTCCCTCAGGTAGTTTAGCTCATGTGAAGGAAAAACTGAAAATGAAATGTATCTCTCTTTCTACACATTTATATCCAACATTTATTCATAGTCAGGGATAACATGCTGACAGTGTTTTTTCCTGTATGTGTTGATGTATTTTATTCATCTTAATGATTAACATTTAAAAATATTACTGTGAGAAAAAGCATGTCTGACGGATTGAATAGAGCACAAATAATAAATGCTTCATTGCACACATTGTACATAATAATTTTATCATTTGAAGATGATTTAATTACTCACAGAGATAAATAATCTCAGAAGGATTCTAAAACTATAAGGTCTGGGGCCTTAAATTTGAATCCAGTGATACCTTGTGGTAATGAAACCCTAAGGATATAAAGTCCAATTATACATCCTTAGAAAGAACATGGAATTCACATCTAACAAAGATTATCATTCAGTATCAAATAAAATTTGGGATCTAAAATGATCCTTGAAGACAGATTATGCAATTTCCTTGTACTGAAGAACAAGAACATGACTGCTTAAGAGTATGAGAGCTAGGTAAAATATTCCAAAGCCAAAGGTAGGTTTTGCAATAACACAGACTTGAATTTGAATTGTAACACTCCCAACAATTCATGCTGTACTTGAGGGAATTATTTTACAAACAAAAACTTCAGTTTTCTCACAAATAAAATCTAAATGACATTTATATACAATAATTGTTGAAAACACAATAAAATGGTGTATGCCAATTCCTGAGCATACTGCCCAAACTGGGATTTAGACCCAGGTCATCATGACACACAGGTCGTGAGTGATCTTCCAAAATTGAGCTCCTGTCATTCTCTATTCTCCAGAAGCAAAGAATTAGACTTACCTTTGAAGCAGTTCATTCACCTCTAGAGAATATCCCTATCTTTGATAAGGGGTCTTGTTTATTGTATATTATAAAATTTGACTTTGGTACTAGACAGTAAAGCAACATATGTCATAACCTGATTACAGTTTCCCATACATATTTTGTATCTGAGAAGTAATTACCCCAAGCTTATGCCTTGCTCCAAGTGTAGAAATGAGGGATGAAGACTTGTGATTCAATAATTCTCGCGATACTTCCTCTCCCTTTTCTCTATGATTTTCACAGCCAAGGCATAATTCCTGTGATTTGACTTGAAACAGGAGACCAGCTCAGCGCTGAGTGATGAGATCTGAACGGGAATAAAATATGCTTGAATTAATTTGCATAATAGAATCCGATTGGTTACAAAGCTGTGTTTGTTGAAGGGGAGACCAGAGTCCCTGAGCTCACCAACAAGGCCACATTACAGATACAGAATGGGATTTTGAGAGTTCTGGTGAGGGCCTGGGTAATATTCTTAATGTAATGATAACTTGTCTTTAGCTGTAAATTAGCTACCTGGAAATAAAAAGAATGGGTCAGCCTGTCTGATCTTTCCAGCTCTGTGGGGAGGAGAAAGCTGAAAAACCAAATCCGCTTACTTTTTGCCAAGTGCTTTTGTCTTTCTTTCTCTACCCGATAACAATTTTCAGCAGGAGTCCAAATATACTTAAACACCCGTATATGTCATTTTCTTTCACAGAGACAAAAGCAGGCATAGCAAGAGAGTTTTATGCTCAAGGCACACTAGCTTATGACGGGCTATCTGCTCTCAAGATAGAGAGGTGAACTTTCTACTTAGAGCCGGTGGTTTTGCAAATCCATTTTCCTGTCATGTTATTACTCCTGTGACTTTCAACAACATTTATTTTTCCCTCCAAGCAATGTGCCTTCATCATAAAATAAAGTACTCCTATATGTTTTAGTGGAACCCCAATGCTTAGACATCTTGGCATACTGCTGGAAAGTGCTTTAATGGAAGGATTGTTCAAGAACTACCTTGGGGGTCTTTATTGAAACTAATTAGAACATTGATATATTTCCCTAATTATTACCATCGTCAAGGTCTTCTTATGAGGTCGGTGTCCTATTAATTTTCATGTGTGATTCCTGCAAAATCTCCAGCTCTGAGCACATGGATCAGTTCTTTAGATCCTAGAAGAATGTTTTAAACAAAAGCAAGACAAAACTCCTTAATATATCGTTTTAACCTATACACTTAGAAATTCTGAAATAGAGATTTAAAAATAAAAACCCAAAGATTAAGTTCTGTGCAATATGTATGTTAAAGCATGGTTTTACTGTGTTGTTGGTGGACTATGAACCGATGTTATCACTTCTTGTGAATCTTCACTTTGCTCGTTACTATAGAATATTTTCTCTTTTTGGTTAGTTTAAGAATTGGGGGGAGAGACCCCACCATGTGCTGAAACTTGAATTATTAGCATGATAAGGCTATTGTTTATCTACAGGACTGTGTTTTTGTTTGATCTTTTGTCTTCTCTTACTGAAGCAATATGGAATAGGATTTCTGGGATAAGAATACAGAATTCCAATCCAGCATGAAGGTTCAATCTCAGCTTCTCCACTTGCTAGGCTCTTTAACCTTGAGCAAGTTATGTAATTTTGATAGACCACAAGCTATTTACCTGTAAAATGGAAATAATAGTACCATTATTTTGTGGATTACTGTGATGATTTAGCGACTCAACTCAGGGAAAGCCCTTACAAGAATGTTAGGCAGATAATACCTGACAAATGTTTACTATTATTAATATTTTCACCATAGTCATATAATTTGTCTGCATTGAATTCCAGTGTTGACGTCCCACATTCAGGCAGCTCATGGTTGTCATTTTTATCAGTGTCTAGTATCATTTCCTTATGCACTTCAGAAACAAACAAATGCCATAAAATGGTATTGTTTGTTTAGTAGTTAAGAATAGATATTAGAGCCAGATAGCATGGGTTCTAATACCAGCTCTGGTATTACCAAAACCTAACCTAACACAGGTGGCTTAATTTATACTGGGGTCAGTTTCCTTATTTAAAATAAGAAGATTCAAGCTGCTCATTTATAAGATTGTTACCGAAATCAGTAGATGAGTTAATATTTGTCAAGTTCTTAGGAAAATAATTTGCTAAATATATTTTTATTCTGAAAGTGAATAAACAAAAATCTTAAAATTTATCTTGCATGAAACTAAGACTAATAATTAAAATAACTTTTATATATTGCACAGTCACTTAAAAATAATGAATATGACCAATTACTTTTAAAGGCAAATTGGCTTTGCACTCAATTCCAACATAAGAAAATAAATAAGTGTATCTTTTTTTAAAAAAGGGTAAGATTTGTTGTTTATTGGTCATTTGGAAACTCTTAAACTCATTAATATTAAGCTAGAATTTTTTTATACAGGGGAAAAAAGTCATCATCTAGTTTCAGCACTTTAGTGTCAGAAATAATTGTGCTTTATAGCAAAATGACAGCCAGTAGAAAGAAGTGCAGAAATATCAACTTCAATTAAAACCCTTTCTCTCAAACACACTTCACAGTTTATATGCAGGAATAATTTATCACCATGTGAATGAACACTTAATACTTGGCATGGTACAAAATGGGCAGGAATCTTGCTGCACCATATGCTCTTCCTTTCTCTTGCTTCTTCTTGAGTTTCCATAGATGCAGCATTCAGTTTGAATTCATCATATCTGGTAAATCATACATTCAAATTTATGGATGGCCTGTTTTGAGCTTATATGTATATATATATAAAATGTATCTCCAAGCCTGGGATGGTAGTAGTGGATACCACTGTAATCCCAAAATCATCCTCTGGGAGGATGCGGCAGGAGAATAGATAGCTTGGCCAATTTAGCTACTTATTGGATTCTGTATCAAAGCAAAAAGTATAAAAAAAGGGCTGGGGATGTAGCTTAGTGCAAAGGCCATGACCTCAATCCCCAGTACTACCAAAAACAAAATACAGTATGTTAATTAGAAAAAATGTCTCACAATCTCTCACCAGAACTATAACCATGAATATGAAGATAGAAGCTGCTTGTAGAGAATTCCACTCAATAACTTCATTTTACCTAGTAAGAGGCAGAGAGGCATTGAACAGGTTCTGTGATATGTTTATTGCAGATTCCTGACCAAATCTTTAGCTTCCTCACTTAAACCTAGAGATATTCTTACTGCTTCCCATTGCTCATTTTAGATTCTTTCCTCTCCTCTGTGCTATTTCCATGAAGTCTGTTTTGATTGCTGGAAACAGCTTTTGATGTATTATTAAAAAGCTGAGTTTGAAGGTGAAGCTGTTAAATGATGACACTGCTTTCTAATCCTTCTCTTCCTCTTCACAGCTTTTACCACCCCAGAGTATCTGTATCCAACTCCTATCCTTTGAAAAAGGACTAACAATACTGTCACAAAGTGGATTGAGCATAGCAGTGGACACCTTAAATTAAGTGTACATCTGCAGCCTCCCTAGGTAACATATTGCCATATTGTAAAGAAAACAAAAAGGCTTGAGTTGACAGAGTCAAGTACCCCAGAAAGGAAGGGGTCTGCATCAACAAATTAGAATTCCTCCAATTCTCTTATTTCCTAGTCCATCCTAAGGCCAGATGGCTGCAGAATCTTGTGTAATTTTGTTCATCAGTTTCTCTCTTGGAGAAAGTACATTATTACCCTCTTCTGGGCATCCCCATCTGCAAGGCAAGGTCACCTTTGTTTGCTGAGACTGGAAGGCTTGGATTACAGCACTCTGTGAAAACAGAAAGAGACCCAGCTCACTATATAAAAGCCCATGAAATCCTCATTGGTCGCAGAAGATCACACAGGCTCATAGTGACTGAATGACGTCCACAAGGTCACTTAGATCATAAGATATACAAATGGTATTCAACCCAGGTCTATCTGATCTCCAAGTCTACTTACGTTCCACTATGCCAAGACCTGTGCTCTCTCCTTCCTGCTTTATCCAAACCAGAAGGCAAAGAATTATGTTGTAGCAGTATTCCTACTCTGCTCATTGGGCTTGCCAGTTCCACTGAGACCCAGCAGTGTTGAAATGAAAATTTATTCTTGGTATCAATATATCCTCTTCCATGCACAGCCACATTCTGAGATCCCTCACATTGGTGATGGTGGTGGGTGATGTTGAGGTAATCTGGCTCTGGGAGCTGGGTTGATGTCCGGGGTCTGGGGTCTGCATGCACTGCTTAGAAGGGTGATGCTCTTCCAACAGAAACGGTGGCACTCTAAAAGAGGGAACCAAACAAGAGGTGATTCCAAGGGGAAAATTAAGTTTCCAGCACCAGGAATATTACACATACTGAAGAAACAGATGTTAGAAATTGGAGAGAAGAAAGATGAAAAATATAAATGGCTTGTTCTTGATATTGGTGAATAGCTGCATCATGGTTGGGTGTTAGAAACAAGATTTTTGGAGTACTTATATGGCATCCTGTTTTATTACTTTTCCTGGTTAGAGAGCTTATAATGCATCCTTTGTAAGACTGCTTTTGTAAAAGAGAATATTGGACTGCTTGGGTGTTCCTCTGACCAGCTAAGCAAATTTTTCCCATTGACTCTCTGTTATAGATTTATAGATTACTGTAGTCCTAATCGACACAATAATGGGTCAATGATAACCTATTAGTCCTCTAACAAAATGTCTTAGTGATCATCATAGTTCTTTGGGATCTCCCTTGACCTCCCTTCTCTAGCAATGTCCACTAACTATCTTCCTTATACCTCATAATAATGCTAAGGTTTGGGGATATACTGTCTGTATTTACTGTCTCTGAGCTTAGGAACATGTTGTTCCTTCTGCATGGTGTCCCTTCAGAATTGAGACCAGCTGTGCCCTCCTCTAGCAAGTCTCTCTTAACTGCTTAGCTTCTGCCATTCCAGGGTGAACCTGTGTCCTTTCCTGGGCTTCCATAATGCCCCAAATTTATCTGTTACTAGAACATAGCCAGGCATGGTTATGACCAATTATAATAACAGATTAAAGCAGAGTGCTTATCATAGATCAGGCACTGTGCTGAGCAACTTATATGCATTACTCATTTAATCCCTGGGAGAAACTTGCAATACCATTTCTTCCTCTGTTTCAGAAATGAGCAAGCTGAGCTCAAAGAAGTCAATTTGCCCAGCTCTGGCAAGTGGTAAAACTAATACTCAAATGTGATGTTTACTACCTGGTAATGAAATGAGGTGAGAATGAAGCCTGCAGCTAATCAAATCTGTCTCTGCTTGCAGAAGCTGACTGGGGAAGTAGGCAGCCCTGACGTGATGTGCTCAGAAAGTGAAGACATTCCATTCAAAGAAAGGTCTGCTTGACGCATCTGGGAAGCCATCGTCAGACAGAACTGCCACTTGGTTGGTGGAAGGGGTGACAGCTGCATTCCCTTGTGCCTACCACGTAACCAAAAATGAAGGAGAACTATTGTTTACAAGCTGCCCTGGTGTGCCTGAGCATGCTGTGCCACAGCCAGGCATTTGCCCTTGAGCGACGAAGCCACCTGCATCCCTCATTCCATGGGCACCAAGAGAGAGGCAAGGAAGGGCAGGTGCTGCAGCGCTCTAAGAGAGGCTGGGTCTGGAACCAATTCTTCGTGATAGAGGAGTACACTGGGCCTGATCCTGTGCTTGTGGGCAGGGTAAGGTTGCTTTCATTCAGTATTTATCTATCTTTTTCCACCACAGAAGTAGTAGCATATGGACAATAGAAAAGGAAAACTAAAAGGGAAAACATGAATAATCTATCGTCAGTAAAGACCTAACATCAGTCTACATACATCCTTACAATCATTTTCTTCTGAATCCATACACTTACCCATGTTGAGAATACTCCCATTTTCCACTTAATGTTATACAATAAAAAATCCACTCATAATGGCTACTTAAATAGTCTCCTGAAATGGAAATGACTGTAGTTTATTTAATCATTTTCCAGATAAGAGGCTTTCCTCTGACCATAACTTAACTGCCAAATGGATACCCCTCCTTTTTGTTCTCATAACTTCAGTACCCTTTTTTTTTTTTTATCATCGCTTTCTCTTTTGTGTCATACATGGCTATTTATTTTTCTGTCTTCTTCACCAGAGCTCAAGATATTTTGCATCATGGATGTGATTTTATCCCATTTGCTTTAGTAGTTTGCTCATTCTCTAACAAGAATATTTGTCATAGAGTAGGGGTAATTTTATCCTCCTTGCTTTAGGGATCATAAAAACCTTGGGAGGGTGACTCCAGATGTTTAGCACTAATCAAATTATGCATTCTTTTCATAGCTTCTTTAAAAATAATGCAAATGAGTCCAAAATACATTTGGGAAACTGACTTCCTGCTATGGTTTTTGGTAAAGCATGCAGCTATCTTTCAGATGACAGTGACATTAACTAAGAAATGCAAGCCTACTCACTCAGGTGCAGTGTGAGACAGATGGTGAAAAAGAAGCTCAGAATGTAGGGAGAAAGAGTTACCTATGCAATTCTAAAAGAAAAACTAAAATGAGCACGAAGGTAGCTAAATTCAGTGTAAGTGATTATGAATTTGCAAGGTAACATTTAGGAGAAATGAAGGACAGTTTCATGGAGAACAGGATAATGACTAGTGACTTCAAGGAAGAACAAGACATAGTCAGTAAAGGTGAAATTGAGGCAAGAGATGTCAGAGGTGCTCACTTCTGATCCCATGGATTCAAACACATTTATCTTAGTTGTCCCTTATCATGAGAGCAGAACTCCATATTTATATTATGGGGCTACTTAGAAACAATTCATGATAGTCTCAATAATATTGTTTGAGGTTAAGAACACCTATTTAAAAGCTGTACCAAAGGAATTTTATTCATTTACACCCTAAATGGAAGGATGTGGATATGGTCTTGCAAAACAGAAACACAAGGAAATAAATGGCATGAAGAATTTGCTAAGTAGAGGAAGTGGGTTATGTGCTCAGAGAGGATGGAAAGACTTTGGCCTGGGAAGGGGCTGTGTGGCTTTGTAATGGGAAGAGATGTGCAAGCATTATTCTGAGAAAATAGAACTTGTGTTTTGAGACTTTCTCACAGGGGAGCAGTGGCTGGTGTTAGGGTTGTAAGGTGCTGAAGACAGGAGCTGGGGACAAATTTTGCCATCTTTGTAGATGTAGCAGTTGTGGTGCCTACTAGAAGGGAACATAGAAAAAAAGGAGGAAAAGAGGAAAAAACCTAAGCACTCAGAGTGTATGGTGTTCAAAAGCTAGGCATTTGAGAATCAGTCTTATTTTAGTGTGGATGAGGAAAAAAGAAAAGTGGCTAGATCTTGTAGATCATCCTGTGGAAATAAAGCTGGGATAGTTCTGCATAAACAGGAGGGACAGAGGAGTTGGCTTGTTCTCTAACAAATTCTGATTTGATGACGTTAACAGCTGAATAGTTTAAGATTCCCTGAAAAAGTATAATTTGGCAAAGCATAGATTTTCAGATTTCTTGCAGCAAATACAGTCTGTGTCATGCTGTGCTATCCAGAGGGGGAAGCTATCCATCTTTGGAGTTAGGAATTGACTGTTGGCTTCAGCACCCCCATCCCTCCATAGCACTCAGTGGCTTCCCAAAGGGCTTTCTCTGTGGAACCTAGTAAACATTATTGCCTATTATATAGATCATCTTTGTAAGAGTGAAAAAAAGAGAAAATTTATATTCAGCTTTCAAATCTGAAAGCAAAGTAGAGAAAAAACAAGAAATATGTTTTGTAGAATTTTCATTCATTTGACTTATCATGAAACATATCAGTTTAACTCCTATGAGATTGGTAAATTCATAGGTAATATATGAAGTTCCCAGAAATTTTCAGTGACTAAGCACTCAAGTATTTCTTGTTCCTCATTCACAGGACTAACCCTCTAACTTTCCAGAGATTTTAAACAGGAATATGAGACAAAGAATCTTAAACTTTCTGGGGAGCCTTTAGATTTAGGGTGCAGGGCCGAGCCTCCATTGAGAAAATCTGTATGAAGACTGGAGTAACTCTGTCCATCCATTGTAGTCCATAAGATAACTTTATATGTCGCTGTGTTAGTAGTCATTATTTTGGGATAACACATGACTTGTTATAAATAACAAATTCGGAAAGTGTTCTTTTTTCCCTCTAAGAAAACCTATGGTGTAAATAAATAATTATAATTTATATATACATATATCCCTTCAAGCTGAAATATTTAGTGTTTCACTGAAACACTGCAAATCAATTAGATATCTTTTGGGAAATTATAATAACACAAGAATTTTTAAAACAGTGTGTTCAATCTTGCTTTGTGACTCTAGGGAAGCTTGCTAGGCCTTGATTTCTTAGTAATAATTAAAATTCCAGTAATAATAATATATTAATATTAAGTGGAGCTAATAACAGTAATCAATATTATTTTTGTTATTTTAAAAGTTACTTGAATAAAACTACTTAGTTTATGATGGGTTTTCTTACATAGCAAGTAGAAATGAGGGCTTTTATCAGTTGGCTACTCTAGAAAGTTATGAGCACAGTGAAAGCCATGCTTACCTTTCCCACGAAGGGCATAGTGAAAGGCAAGGAATCCAGATTAATATGACAGCTACAGAAATTGGGACTGGATAACAGAGGAGAGTGAGGGACTCATTGCTGCAGGAAACTCATGAAGTCTTTAGGAGAGTTCTGTGTTCCAAAACACAGAGCAGAGTGAGGGAAACAAGGCCCAGGATTGGAGGTAAAGAGATTTATGGGGCCTGAAAAGTATGGCTTCAGGCAAGTGCCATCTTATCTCCAGGATTTCTCAAAGAGAGGAAAAGAACAAGGGTATTTAAGGTTCTTTTAAGGATGTGAAGAATTGCATGTCTATCAACCCATCCCATCCACCCTACCTTTAGGGTTGCAATGGGCCCTTCTTCCTTGAAGGTCACATCCCCAGATCTTCAGACTCTGTGTGCTGCATAGCAGGAATTCTGGAAAGGGGTGATCAGTTGAATTTTTTGTAGTAGCAAAGCCTGGAACAATCTAAGTGACTTTTGGAGAAGACTGCTAAGAGATATAATGACACTCTGTGGGTGAGGTACATCTGTATGTATAGTATGGAAGGGCACCTGAATTTGCTGTTAGAGAAAACTGGTAAGGTGAAGAATGATGTGTGCTTTAAGGCACTACAATATGTAAAAAATAGAGTGTATATGACTCTGCAGACTCTATGCATAGAGTAGAATGTCTCTTAGATGGCTCACAAGAAACTTAACAGTTACGATGTTTGAGCAGGCAAAGTGAAGGAATGGTTGACAGAACTGAAAGGAAGATTCACTGCATATATTTTTCATGTGTAGTTTTAAAAATATACGTATTTTCTCAAAATAAATATTAAGACGTGTGTGTGTGTGTGTGTGCGCGTGCGCGCATACTATAGCAATCATCACGTAAGTGGGTCTGTATCTCCCTACTGCCTCTCTTGTGAAATTACAAATCTTGACTTCTCTTTTCCTAGCTGCATTCTGATCTTGACACTGGTGATGGGAAGATTAAATACATTCTCTCAGGTGAAGGAGCTGGAACCATTTTTGTGATTGATGACAAATCAGGGAACATTCATGCCACCAAGACGTTGGACCGGGAGGAAAAAGCCCAGTATACACTGATGGCTCAAGCGGTGGACAGGGAAACAAACCGACCACTGGAGCCAGCTTCCTCATTCATTGTCAAGGTCCAGGACATTAATGACAACCCACCGGAGTTTCTACATGAGATCTATTATGCCAACGTGCCTGAAAGGTCCAATGTGGGTACGTAAATGGGAAGATTGGCTCCATTGCCACCCTGACTGCAGGGAGGGGTGCACTGTGGTCTGTCTTCCAGAATCAGGAAATAGAATTTAGGTTCTATCTGCAATGCCCAGACAACAGCTAAGAATGTTTGTCTCCAGAGGTGAAATTTCAGATGTTTAAAATGGGCTTGAGGTTTTGCAGACTGAACTTATTAAAAAGAACAAAGGTGGAGAAAGTGGAATAATTTGATTGGGCCTAGGTAACCCTGACTTTTGTATTATTAGGTGTATAACTTGGAACCAGTTACATCTAGTCTCTTAGCCTTTGTTTCCTCTTCTGTAAAATGAGGATAATCCCTGGCTTTGTAAGACTGGAGATAATATGCATCTAGTCATATGACACATTGAGTAGGTCATATGAAGTAAGAGCAACAGTTTTATTTGTTGTGTATAGGCATTGTGTTAATTGATGATTCACATCCACTATTTTATTTAATCTGTGCTGTGATTAATTTTTTAATGAGGTAAGTCTAATTAGCCATATTTTACAGCTTGGGGAAACCCAAGCCAGAAACAAGTTTTCTGATTTATCTAGGGTAAGTCACCCATCATACACACCTAGCTACAACACCATGCCATCATCTATTGACTCAGAACTAGGTGTGTTTTCAGTGTGCTGGAAGACACATTATGAAAATATATAATTTGAAGGATTTCATTAACTAGCCCCTTCTCCAGGGAAAAACCATTATTTGGCTTTATAGAATATGTAGTGGTCTTTTGAGGAATATGCCTCATGAGACATTGCCTTTCACACAGTGAACAGGGTTGTTCTGATCAGGGAGTGAGTCTGATCAGATGATCTCAAATGAATTTAAGACTCATCAGGGAAAAGCAACCCATTTTACAAATTAGAAAACCAAGCACCGCCTATGAGAAGGCCATCAAGAGAACTACCTACGACTCTGGAACCTCAAGTCCTTCCATTCTGCATGTAGAGGCCCTTATGCCACAAGATAGTGTCCTCCTCTTAGAGTTCTTCTCATGTTATGTGAAAGTCAAGCTGGGTCGTTTCCTACCTACTTCCTTCCTCCTTTTCTTGTCTAGTCCTTTATTTTCTAGATATTCACATGCAGATTCTGAGAGACAACAGACATCAAATAAATCTGTATATTTATATACATATAAAATAGTAGTGTCAGGAACTGAACATTGGGGTGGAGGGTTAGGATTGGAAAAACAGTCATTATAAAGGATACTCTAGGGGAACTGTCATTATTCTCACCTCTGGGAGCTCCTTGATGGTGAAGAACAGTACCTAGGCTCCCTATTAAGGCATGGGAGAGTACAGTGCAGTCTTATTGTCAGACAGTACTGAAACTAACTCTTTGCTGTACCTCAACCATGTGGACCCAGACATCTTCTTGTACCTTTCTACATTTTCATTTTGTCATTTACGGAAAGAGGCTAATATACAGTAAGATTAATCTTAAATAAAATATAAATATAATACAAAGATTTGTGAAGCAATTAGAGTTCTAGAAGTAAATTAAGTACAAAAATAGTAATTTCCCTAGCATAGCATAAAGGTATTCTCCTTTATAAAACTCTGTTGCCTAGAATATTGTTTGGCTGTGTGGGAAGAGCTCAAAAAAGATTGTATGAAATAGTGAGTACAGAAGACTGACTTGAAGACAATGAAAGTTGCTTGTATTTCCTGCAAAAGTTGCTGACAACCTCGTAAAGAGTAGTTAGAAGTGCTGTAAGTGGGCCTCTTGTCTCCCACATGGAACCTTGCCTTTCTGGTGAGAATTACACAGAAAAACTTGGGTGTCACTACTTGCCTGATTGGCTTTAAGTTGCTGAGTCTGGAAATAAACAACTTGGTGAAAGAGATTGTATAATTTCATACCTCTCACACCAAATTTCCCCTGCATAAATGGATGTGAAATACCAAGTAGGAGAGAATGCTTGCAGACACACTACTGATACTACTACTAATAGAAAAAGAATGCTGGCAGTATACATAGAATGTGCCCCAAATGATGCCTTGAACAGAGAAATTGTATAATTTCTAAATCTCTCCTTCTAACTCCTCTTTCCTCACTCTGAAAACCAACATGCCATACTCCACATACTTGTTAGTTGTGACCAGCAAGGAACACAAGGGCTTTTTAAAGAGAGAAAAAAAATCAGAATCCCACATTTCTTCAATTCCATGGTTTCTTGAAATTCCGACCCACAAAGGCTTGCCTTAGACACCATGTGTCTATGGTAGTTTCTGTTTCATGGGTACCAGACCTCTTAGAGGTGGGAAGATGAAATTTTTATACTAACAGGAAACAACATTCTATACAGTATTTATAGCCATAAATTAATTAAAATGTAGTATTAGCAATGATTTTATGGCATGGAAAGCAACAATAAAATGATATATTTATTCTTCTGCTACAGATGGAGGATTGTACTCTGTCCTTTCTTGAAAAGCAATTCATCATTAATTATCATTTATTATACTCTTTGGGAAGATTTTTATTTAATTATGTGATAAATTCAACATTTCAATTGCACGAGTCTCAGAATATTTGGCAATAATGTTCATATCATGATTTTTTACTACTACACAGAGCAGGATATACTATGAATATAGAAAGTTTGGTTTTCAACTATGAGAATGAAAAAGGAAAGGAAAGAAAAAACAAAGGAAGAAAGGAAAGAAGGAAGATTGTTTTGCATCTCAATTCTAGGAAAATGAGAGCATGTTGAATAATTGTGGGGGCTTCCTCTGGATTTAATTTTATAATGAGGTTCTATAAACAATAATGAAATTTGAAAAGTTAAAGGCATGCTACTAATTAATTCATTCTCCTTTTAAGGAACATCGGTGATCCAGGTAACAGCTTCTGATGCAGATGACCCCACCTATGGAAATAGTGCCAAGTTAGTGTACAGTATCCTTGAAGGACAACCTTACTTTTCAGTGGAGGCACAGACAGGTACTGTAGAATGCTGCTGCTATTGTGATTTAGGACAGGTTGTGAATTAGAGTCCATGCTTGCTCACTAAACCTATTTAAATTTCAATTTTCCCAAATATATAAAAGGGGACCAAAGAAGGCCACCTAAATGGATTAATGTGAAGATTCAACACTCTATGCGTGTCCTCGTGTATAGCTGGCTTGCAACGAAACATATTTATTATTGTTTCAGGCCATATTTCACAATACAAAAATAACAAATAATCTTTAAACTTAACATTATTAATGTTAGAAGGATCTTGAACTGTGGATCCAAATTAAGAGACCATAGAAATTAGAGCCTGGTATAAATGCAGGCAGCTGTCAAAGCATGCTTTGAAGATCATTGTTCAAGACTAGGGGTGTTAGAGGTGTTTGTTGTTACTCACATTGTTTTAAGAGCTAGCACATTCCCAACCTCTCTTGCTGTGGTCATAGATTCTCAGTGGACATTGTCACACAGAGAGGAGGCTCTGTACATTTCTTATGAAAAACAAAGAGTAACAAAAAATGTATAAATATACAAACAAAAGCTCAAACCCAAAATGTTTCACATAATTTATACCAAATTTAACTCTCTAGAACAAAGACTAAAATCCTATGAATCTGCTCATCCATGATATTTTCTCAGGGACCTTTTTTTCCCTCACAATTTGTCTCATATTTTTGAAAGATGAGGACAAACAGAAGTCACTTATTATCATTAAAATTTATAACATATGTATATATGTATGTATACAATGTATATATGTATGTATACACATAGTCTCCCAATTGAAGAGTTTGCTCTTTTACTTAATATAATTTCCATATACTTATATATTCATTTATTTGTAGCTACTTGTTTCAGAACATAATTTATAGAGTTACTTGCTATGATTATTTCAAAGACATTTGCCATTAGCCTTTCCAGGTTAACTGAGGAAAACATGGACTTCATCTAGAATTTTGAGAGAGATGTTAAAAAATACTTCAACTTCCTTTGTCTCAAGAACTCATGGTTAATAACTACCAATTTTAATCTATCAAATTATTTAATAGACAAAGAAAACAAGGGCCGGTAAATTCCAGGGTACTGCTCAGAAACATACCAACATCAGGGAATACTAAGCCTTCCTCGGTGTTGTTTTTATATTTTTAGTACAAGTGTTACCTTAACTACAGAGAAGAAAAACACCCATAAATCCCCTAGAGATTTAAGTAAGCATAGTTTTCATGAAAATGATGTTTCAGTATTCAGGGATCACAAAGAATTCAATCACCAATTTATTACTGTTGTCAGCGGCAAGTGATTTTAGACAGTAAAAATTTGCATAAGCATTGTGTATAGTTCTAACCCATTTGTTCACGCTTTCAAAAATTAATGTTAACATTTGAATATATTGCATGAAATATGTTCCTCTTACTCACAATGTAGAGTATAAAAATGTTTGTAATAATTGCATGTAGGAAAATGATTTCCAAAAGATTTTGGTAGAAGTCCAAAATATGGTTATGGATATCTATGCAGTGAACATTGAAATATTTCAATCTTCAGGGATGACATACTTGACATATACATGAGATGGTATGCATGAGAAGAATGAGATTATTACTCGCATGTATAGAGAAATAAAACAAAATTAATGCTCTATAAGTAATTTTATGACTTGCTTGAATAAAACAAGAATGCTTTAGGAATAGTTGCTTTTGGTTACATTTATCATATTGAAATTTTCTTTGAGGACTTGAGCTATCTTATTCATCTTTACTTTCCCAGTGTCCAAAACTTGTTCTTGTTGTATTCTGTTATAAATGATTATCTGTCATGTTTCCTGCTCTCTGCCCAGGTATCATTAGAACAGCTCTCCCCAACATGGACAGAGAAGCCAAGGAGGAATACCATGTGGTAATCCAGGCCAAGGACATGGGTGGACATATGGGTGGACTCTCAGGAACTACCAAAGTGATGATCACTCTGACCGATGTCAATGACAACCCACCAAAGTTTCCTCAGAGTAAGTAGGTGGGCTTAGTTTTCACTGTTCAACCCTGCCACACCCAGCTCCCCATCTTCTCTTGCCCTTCCTGCCTTATACAGCTTTGAAAAAGAAAAATCTACAAAACTAAGAGGTCATTACGTCATTCTTGCAAAAAACAAAATAACAATAATAACACAACTGAAATGGAGTAGAGGTAGTGGGAGAAAAAGAAAACATTAAATGTTCTGACCTTGGGGACAGAATATCAATTTTGCTAGGTATTTTGTTTAATAGGTACTAGTAATGTGATCTAATCTTAATGAACTTTTCTCTGTCTTGGATATAACAGTACTTGAATAAGTTATTTTTTACTGTGTAACAAACTGCTCAAAACCTGTGTTTCAAAATAATATTCATTCTCTTTTTCCATAAGTACAAAGTTTGGAGGAGACAGATTTTCTTTTTTTCTCACAGCATCATCTATGGACAACTCCACTGGGATGGAAAACCGACTTTCAGGGTTTTTTACTTACATGGCTAGCAAGTTCTTATGTACTGTCGGTTCTTCTATATGTAGGTCTCTCCCTGGCTTTGTCTGAAGATGAGAGCCTCAAGCAAACTAGGCAGAAATTATATTGCCTTTCATAAACCAGCCTCAGAAATCATATAACTTCCTTTGCAGTGTAGTCATAATAATGCCAGAATTTAAGCAGAGTTCCTCAAAGTCAGATGACCAACATTGGTTTGATCAATAATGCAAAATGAAGTCTTCCACACTACTTAATTAATAGGATTATTGTTAAACGTAAGCAAGCTAGTGTAAAATCTTGTAATGAAACTTGACATAAGTTGTCAACAAATGTTAGACATTATTATCTGGGTTGTTCTACAAAATTTGTAGAATTACTGAGGAAATTAAAAAGAAAAATGATGTTTAAATGGAATTAATAATTTTAATTACAAATACCCATGCCATCATTTAATGCTGTCACTAATATTGTAAATCTCTTCAGAAGCCTACATTTTAAAGATAAAACAGGTGTCTATAAAGTGCAGAAGAACAAGGCTAAAGCAATGTGGCCAAAGGAACACGGCCAAGCCGGAAGTTGAACACAAATCTATTCATGTATATGGAATACAAAGGTGTAGTATGGTGCCACTGTTACTGGAGGGCTTTCCACAATGAAGGGGTCTTTTTCACTGGACCCTGTGTATAATACCAGAATGATACCAGAGCACATTTTTCAAATGAAAGAACAAAGAAAGCAATGAAAAATAGCATCAGGGAGGTACCATAATTACTCAAAGAAATCCAAAGACAACAATCTACAAAAGGGAAACAAGGCAGAGCTCAAGGAAGGGTCCCTCAGTTCTCCTAGGGTCCCAGAATAGATGCTTTGCCTCTCCAGGTACAAGGTTCAGCATCTCCAGAAAGATAAAGTCTCATATGATATTCTAAAAGCTGCAACTCCACAGTATCCACTGTACAATTGTACAATTGTTTGGTGCACTGGAAGGGATAGGCCAAGCAGGATTAGTGAGTAGCCATTAATGCCTTTGCTCACAGGGAGTTGTAGCGTAGACTTATATTGCTACTATTCCCAGATGGACCAGTTTTACAGTCATAAATTTGAATGATATTTAGAGAAAATCATCTTATAACAGGTTTTTCAAAACTTCCCATACATTTGTAATTATCTTCCCACCATACTTTTAGTATGAAAAGCATATGAGATTAAGTTGAATATAAATCCAGACTGAAAATATCAGTAGAGTACTGCAACTGATAACGTCTATGTCAGAAGAAACTAAAGCCCAAAGAGGTAAATAGTGAGTCCGGTGACTTGGCTTATATTTCTTTCCCCACAAAGAGTATCTTTAAAATACGAAGATGCAAATAGGGTAGTGTCAAATCTCACTCTCCCACTAAAAACTTTCCAGTGGCTTCCTGAAGTTAAACGACACTTGAAGTCTTTGTCATCTAGAATGCTGTCTTTTTATACAACTGAGCCCCAGCCAACCTACATGCTTTTCTCTATTAACGGAAGACTCATTTGCCTCTTGTCCTCTTGCTACTTCCGTATATATCCAGGGTGTTCCCACATTGGGATCATTGCCATCTGCTGTCCCTGAACCTGTAATGTTTACTGCTTAGACATTTTCTCCCCAGGCTTGTCCTGCTCAATCCCTTCGGTGGCCTTCAGATACTATTCTTTTTACAGAAAGTCTTCTCTGGCTTACCTTGTTCAAAATGAATCTCTTTCCCTCTTTCTCTTTCTCACTTTCACATATTTAACACAAGCATACATATTAACTTACATTCATCCACACACATAATCATGCTCACACAAAGATATACATAACACATTTAGATACACACTTACTTGTGTGGCGCCTACTCTCTGTGCAGTCACTCACTTTCACAGCCACAAATGCAACTCACGTATTTCCATGCACACGTCACACTTATACACAATCTTGCACTTATACACACAACCACGTACTTGTTCATTTCCCTTTAACCCTTAACATCTTTAGTTTTGGTTTCCTGTCTTAGTTTCCTAGCAGGGATATGAGAATATGTATATATCTGTTTTATTTTCTTTTTAGTATGCCTCATTACAGACAGAATCATGACTGTTTTGCTTACTATGGAGTTTGTAGGGGCTAGAACAGTACCTGGCCATATTAGGTTCCTGAGAAATATTGAATTCATATAAATGTATAAGAATAAACCATGGGAAATCTTTTCAGAGAATATCATGCTTGAACTAGTGGTAAAGGAGGTAAAGTAAGAGGAGAACCAAGTATAGTGGAGGCAAGATCTTGAAAGACAAAATTTGCATTTGATTTTAAAATAGACATGGAACTGTTGAGGTTTTGAAATAAAGAAGCTATCTTGTTTTAGTTTCATTTTGGTTTATTTATTTATTTTCGTGGGCACTAGGCTGTGCCATAAGTTAACCTGACATTAACTTCATAGACCATCCTGAGGACATGAAAAGAAGACTCAACTATTTGACAGTATGACAAGATGTATGATCTCCATCGTTCTCTGTTGAGAAATGTAACTGAACATCGTTTGCCTTCCTCACATGTGGCAGGTGACCCCAGCGTTTCATCCAGGACCCTAATATTATTTTATCATCCTTTATAGAATGCATTTTTTTTTTGGTGAGCAGGCCGTCTGGGATCTTCCTTCAATCTATTTTGTTCTTTCATGTTTTCAATCAATAGAAAGTTCAATTTCAAACCCTTAGAGAAATTTATTGGGATTCAATGCAATCTGAAATCTTACAGCTGCCGAATAAAAAGGAAAATAAAAGTAGATCTCTTCTTCTTCTAGGCGTATACCAGATGTCTGTGTCAGAAGCAGCTGTCCCTGGGGAGGAAGTAGGAAGAATGAAAGCTAAAGACCCAGACATTGGAGAAAATGGCTTAGTCACATACAATATTGTTGATGGAGATGGTATGGAACTGTTTGAAATCACAACAGACTATGAAACACAGGAGGGTGTGGTGAAGCTGAAAAAGGTGAGTTAGGGTGAGGAATGGGGCATGTGGGCTTCGCTGCCAAGCAACAATGCAGGTAACAGGGAACCAAAGGTGGAGGAATGAGAATATGGGTGAGCGGGGGCTGACCTCGCTTTGTGCTTGAGCACTGAGCTCTACAGAGCTAGCAGAGCTGTATTTCTTTCTGTTACTGCAGAGGGACCTGACAAAAGGGGCTGACTATGCCTGCCTGAGATGGCTGCTTAGTTCTCTTATGTTTTGGCACAGCACACTTTTTCTACAGAAGGAAAGACATTAGAGACACATAGACATTAGAGGAGCAGCCCTGAGTTCCTTTAACTGTGCCCAAGTGAAGCTTTTAATATCAGGTGTTCAGAACTTCTCTCATTTCACACAACCCAGGTTCACCACACTGTTGGACCCTCTGTGAAATTTAAACCAATCCCCTCTTGCTTTGCTTACTAAATTGTGCAGAGAGAAAAAAGAATAATGGAACTGTCCTCATAGTCAGCTGGACTCTCATTAGAAAGATGCCTTTTAAATTAATTCATTACAAAGAGAAGTACATTATTTCTTCCCATTTTTGTTTCTTTTTAAAATAAATATAGCATCTATCAATACTACCTGTTGGACAGACATGGACCAAATCTCCCACACATATCTCATTTATTTTTAACGTGAAAATACTCATTTAATGAAAATAGTATTATCACAATGAACAGTGATACTTCCAACTTAATTTTGAGATTGGGATTCAGAGGGATTAAATATTTGACTTAATAACTGTCACAGACATGAAATTCACACCTAGCATATTTTGTAACATCTTCCCACTTAAAACATTTTGGAAATAGCTAAGCCAGAAAAAGCTAATAAGGGAAAGTCGGTTATGATTTCATTTTCAAGTGAAGAATCAGTTACAATGTGTTTTAAAATGCACCTGTCCCATTTATCTCTTAGGGATCAACACTTCTCCATCTTCAAAGTGTATGAAGCATTAAATCTGAATTGGATGAGGGGATTGTACTGGTTTTAATCAAGCCTTTTCACTTTCTATTTGATTTTGGAGCATGAATATTAAGCTTCTTGGTGTGATGGGAAACATTGGACAGTAATATTGATGAAAAATTAATTTGAAGAATCAATAGAAAGACCAGTAGTTGAAGAGAAGGGTGGGGAAAGGTGGGTCCTTGGGGGAATCTTTCAGGAGAGAAACAAGGGTGGACATGCTCCAGGCAACTGACTTTTAAAATAGTTAAAGCTATGGGGTTCGGGGAGAATATTTAGGGGATACAGAACAGAGAAGGTAGAAAATGACTGTGATAAAGAATAAAGAAAATGGAAGGTGTAGAACTTGGGGTGAACTTTGGACACTTACCACTAATTCATACATGCTTTGACAGAGGAAGCCTGCTTTTCTTCCACATGGGGTTGGGGTAGTGATTTCCTCTGATTTCTCTTCTGAAAAAGTAACTGTATGAATTGTTTGTAGCCTCGAGCTGTCAACTTACTGTGTTAATTAATATGACTATCCCCCTTGCTTGACACTGACATATGAACGTTGAGACCAGGTATTCCTGCTTCCCATTCTTTGCTGCTCGAGGAATTGGGTAGTTGGTTATGTTAAGGTTGTCACCTATTTTCAATGTATTCAGAGCATAAATAGACATTCTGACTCTAAAGTCCTGAAAGATTTAAATCTCCCTGGCCGGGGATTTGGCTCAGTGGTTTCTCTGCCTGCTGCACAAGCTGAAGGATCTGAGTTCGATCCCGGGCACCAAAAAAGATTTAAATCTCCCTCTTGGAGCTCACACATGGCAAATGAGCTATCTGTATGTAATTAATTTGTATGCTTTCCCTCAATTTAGTGTATTTATTACTGGCAATGGAACAGTCTTCCAAATAGCACTAACATTTTGGTTTAAGACAATGTAAGATAATACTTCATTTGCAAAAGAACATTTGCTTACACTTGTTGCATAAAGTTCCAAGTGTCCACTGGGGGGAAAAATCAAAGGTGAATTAAACAGTAAAAATGCGAATACTGTGGAAGTCATGACATCCAATTCAATAATATAAAAGGATGTGGCGAAATCATGCAAGTATGTTGAATTTAAAAGATATCCTTTAATATAATATTTTCATTCATTTATTAATTTATCCATTTTTTCCACTAAGAGTTATTGAGTTATTATTTGTTAGGTAGAACCTCGGTAGAGTAAAAGCTGGAAATATAAAGTGAAAGAAATGGAGTCCTGGTCAGAAGGACATCATAATTTTATAGGGTAGCTCAGTGAAAATGACAGTTAAATAGAGGGTTGTCTTCCCCAAGTCCTGGCAGTGTTGACATTTTGGGCTGGGTGATTTTTTTCTTGAAGGGTCTTATCGTGTTCATTGTAAGATGTTAGGCTGTATCCAGGCTCCTCCTCACTGGAGGTCAGTAAGCACTCACTCCACCTTGTCTTGATATTCGTGTTACAAAACACAGCAAATAGCCTTGTAGCGAATGGCTCAAAAATCACTCCCCAGCAGAAAATCAACTACAAAGAAGTATGATATAGGTTAAGAATGATTTCTAAGAGGAGCAGTTCTTGAGTTGAATCTTGGTAGCTGAATAGCACTTTTCTCAATAGATAAGGAGCGAAAAGACAGAAAAAAAGAGTTCATGAAGGACTGGAACCTGTGAAAATAGAACATATTTAGGAAATTGCAGTACATTTAGTCTTTAAATAGAGTAGAACCAATTGAGAAACTGGTGTTGGGATTCAAGAGATATATGACAAAGAACCAAAGAAGGCAGAAGAGGTAATGGGATGGTAGTGAAAGAGATGAATTGCAAAAAGTAATTAGTGGATAGATTCATTCATTTTTTGAGTCATTTAGAAAATAATTTATGTTTCTAGAGTTTAGACTCGATATCAGGATTTAACAGTGAAAAAGGAGAACCTACCCTCAGAGTATTCGGTCAATCTCCAGGTGGTTAGCTGAAAATGTAAAATACAGATAAGCTTTAAGATGTTTTGGTAGACATGGGAGGAAAATCCAGTCTGTTCATTGCAATACCCTTGAACAAGTAGGAATTCCACTTATTGCAAAGAAATCCCAGCCCAGTTTCTCAACTGTTTGTTTTCAACCAAATAAACTTGTGAAGCAGAGTTACAGCAGTATTATGAGGCATTTTTAATATTCTCTATTTTAATAAAACTATGTTTATGCCTGATTTTTTCTTTATATTCATTGTCCACATGTATATAGATGTGGATACATAACATTTAGGACCGTTGCAATCATAGGGTGAGCTTATTTGTTAACTTAATGTCACATCATAAACATTTTACATGCTATTATATAATATACATAATCATTTTTAATGGCTACATAACATCTCATCCTATTGATGGACTATTATTTCCTTAATAAAATCTCCCAGTTGGATTTGATGTTTCATGTGCATAGTTCCCCAGATTAGATATTACCCTCTATTATATCTAACAAATATTATGCATTTTTGAATTTTGTTTGTTTGGGTTTTCTATTGAATTAATCCCTTAGGGAGAATTTTTGGAGGTGGGGATTAGTAAATGAGGGGGGTATTAAGATTTTTATGGCTCTTGCAGTGTGTTGCCTCATTTACCTTTATTTTAAATACTCATAACATGGATATAAATATTCCCATGGGAAGCTACCTCAAATCCTTTTTGGAAGGAGGAAGGGGATAAATTGTAAATAAATGCTTCAATGTTATCCATCTATCAGTCCTGCTCTTTGTTCAGTCAAAATGATTGATGCATAGATTTTTTCATTGATGCAGCCATTCTTGGGCTTTGGAGAGGAAAGACCAGCAAAGATCAGCAAGACTCAGTGGAGTCCTTTGGGATGCTTCCAACCAAGCATGGGAGAGAAGTGAGGGTTGCAGAAGGGCAGCTCAGAGGCCACACCAGATAGCTTGGGCTTGCTGAGGAGGACTTGCCAAGGGCATGAGGCTTGGTCTGACTGCCAGAAGACTCAATAGAATCTCAGCAGATTGTGAAAGGACATTGAAGATTTTAGCTTGGGATGATTCGGATGGAATCTGTCCTTTAGATCGCAGCATGACGTTACTGTCCTCAGCATCAATAGGGCTATGCAGGGAGAATGTGGGTTAGGTTTTTAGGCATCTTCTTGCATGAAGTTCAAAAGAATCTGTTACAGGGGCATCAACAGATTGAAAAAATTTCACCTGATTACAAATTACCCAGCCTCAGTACTATCATGTACCAATTTTTGATTCTAACTAGTAATTACAGAGATTTCTGAGATTGCAGCAATCTTATATCTTTAGGCTATAAATATCATTTATTTCCACTACTCAGTAATGCAGCCAAGGACACGGGTGCTGCCAGATCCCACCCAGGATGATGAAGAGGCCGGGGGTAGATTTAACTTTAGCAAAGGGCAGTGTTCCCTGACTGTGGGAAATGGACGTGTTAGGGTGATAGGAGAAGTGTCAGGAATGTTAAATGTGTTTAACTTTTGTGAAACTAGGGTCATCCTTGGTTTGGAGTTGTGCAGAACTAGGTCAGGACTAAGCCCCTCAGGCCTGTGCCCAGTCAGAATAAGTGTTTGCCAGGCAAATGATAACAGCCTGTCAAGCAGATGCCTGCCTTGAAAAAGAAAAGTTTTTCCAAACATTTGGTAATCATCCAGAGTACTAATTAGAAAGTTGTTTCCTAGGCTTTAGGGTTCATTTCTTTGGTACAATTTTACTTTTACCCTTTGCTGACAGATTGACTGTACTTTCTCTGACTCAAAATTAAGGAGTGTTTACCATCAATTCTCCTATACTGCAGCCATTTAAATACTTCCTCTCTGTTTACTTCCATATCTACATAATAATCTGTACTGATAATCCTTGTTTTTCTTTAGATGAACAATATTTTTCATATATGCATTCTTTCTAAAAGTAAGGATTGTCTTCATTGTCTTATCACTTACCACTAATAGAAGGTAACCTAAACATGAATCCAATGAAAACAAAACCACCATTACATTTTAGCTAAAGAGGAGTATTTTAGTTTCCCAAAAGAGATATTGAGAAATACAATGGATATATTAAAAATTAGTGCTATTCTGAGATGCTCTGCATTTAAAGAACTGGAAAAACAGTAATAAGTAAGTCAATAACTTAGTATTATTTAACAGCTCCTCCTACCAAAATTAACCATAAACTACCTAAAATAATCTATGGGTACACCTGGTTCAAGATTTTGCAAAACACAGTGTATTCAGAAACTTCAAAAATGAGGCTGTCACTATGATCAAGATACAGGATTTGGGTGTTTTTGTGGGAGGGGAAGACAGTCTTCAAATGAGACACACTTTTGTTCTTTGACTGAAATTCAGTGAACAGTTTTATTAACAAGATTGTTAATACTTTACAGAATGGGCTAACATTTCTGATATTGTTTTAATTCTCCCTTTTTGATGGCTTTTAGTAACTGACCAGGGAAATCTTAGTGTTACTATGTAGAATGGGATTCAGTTTAGACAATGCACAGAATGTGTATCAGTCATGGCCCTTCAATTGCGCATTAAGCACACTTCACATTTCAGCAATTGAGTCATCCTATTTTCTGACCAAATGGCTGAAGTAATTGGATGTTGAATAGACACTGATTTTCTCTCTTTGAGGAAGTATTTACTTTGCCCTATAAAACAATCAGTCCTTTCTCTTCCATTATTCTTACGTGGAATTGGTTGTCAATCTTCTCTCCATTCTTGTCAGCCTGTAGATTTTGAAACCAAAAGAGCATATAGTTTGAAAGTAGAGGCAGCCAATGTGCACTTCGACCCAAAGTTCATCAGTAATGGACCTTTCAAGGACACTGTCACAGTCAAGATCGCTGTTGAAGATGTTGACGAGCCCCCCATGTTCTTGGCTCCAAGTTATATCCATGAAGTCCAAGAAAATGCAGCCCCTGGCACTGTGGTTGGGAGAGTGCATGCCAAAGACCCTGATGCTGCCAACAGTCCAATAAGGTACTGACGGATTAATTGTAAGAGGTTGGATGGGGAATTTTGGATGCAAGAGGCTTTGGGAAAATCCTTTAGGAACCACATCATTCCACTTCAGAGAGCATCCAAATTTATCAGGTTCAGTGAAACTTCAACAGGATTAAGATTAGAAGGCATGGGCTCCACCTCACCTCTGCTACTAACTTTCTGCATAGGCTTGTTCAAGCTACCCAGTTTTTCTCTGGAGCAGATGTCCCAAGGTATACTAGATGATTTAACCATTAGCTGAGCCTGTCTGCCTTAAGGACTGCAGTAAAGTATAAATAATGACTATAAAATAATTATAGTAATTATAATTTATTGAATGCCTTCCTATGCTCCAGTTACTTTATGAAGTATGTTAGACGTGATGTAATATATCCTCTCAACTTTATTATTACACAAATTGTTATTTCTTAAACCAAGAGAAAATTGTGACTCTGCAAGATGAAGTGACTTGCCCTGAAAGTCACAACCTGAGGCAGGAGTCTAGGAGGAAAGCTCTAGCTGCTGATGAGCACTTGGAAAAAGTAAAGGAGTGACAAATACATTTGGGATGTTTGTATCATTATGAATATACTTTTGTTGCCTGCAAGAGTATAATAGATATTGGGAAATAGAAGGAAAATGTTCAAATGAGAAGAGGAACAAGGTCAGCGGAATGGGAGGATGGAAGGGACAAGGAAAAAGAGAATGAAAGGAAGGAAATAGAAACAAAGCTTTTGTAAGTAAGGAGAAGATGGGTCAAAGGGAGGGGAGGGGGTTGGGAGAAAAAGAAGCAGCAAGGTATATCATGCACTGGTACAAGTTCCCTATGATGAATGTTATTGCTACGTATATCTAAAATGTACCAACAAAAATAACTAGAAAAAAATAAAAACTAAACTGTGAAAAAAAAAAAGAGCTATTCAGAATCATGCTTCTGTACTCTCATCCCTGACCTGAGCTAAGGAGAAATGAAGGAGATGAGACATAGTGAGAAAGAGGCCCAGAAAATACCTGGACCACAGATATAAGACATGGATAGGGTGGAAATATGTAGTTGTCTGAAATCTTCCCTGGATTAGATTCTACCATGATTTTTCCCCCAATGGCCACTCCTCTAATTCCTTTCTTTCCCATTTGCCTTCCTGTGCTTCCTGATGGCCTTCCTCTTCTGATATGTCATCCAGCTTTTTATCATCTGTGCTGCAGCCAGAGTGATTCTTATAAAAGATGCAACCAATTATCACATCACACCTCCACTAAAAGCAAGCCAAAATCAATGATAGAATTGTTCATTGTTATTCCTCGCTTGCAAAATAATCTAGATTCTTTTATTCATTTGGGTCTTCGCAGCCCCTCCCCTCGGTTCAGCACTGTTCTTGAGCCCCTCTGCTTTCTTCCAGTCTGGGGCCTTATGTCCTCCTCTTCCCAGTTTTACTCTCTGCGTTTTCAGCTTGCTCCACTGTGCTCATTTTGTCCCTCCCCATTTTGGTATCAAATGTCCTTTGCATTTGCTGTCACCTCACATCACCTTCCATGTTCCAACATAGTGACACCATGGATTGTGCGTTGTCCTCAAAGGACCATACACTCAGAGGGTTGGGAATGTGTCTTTTTGATTGAGGGGTGAAAAAACTACAGGCTGCAGACCAAATCTAGCCACAACTTTTTTTTCTTCCTTTCTTCCCTTACTTTTCTTTTTCTTTGTTTCTTTCTCTCTTTTTTATTCTTTCCCTCCCTTTCCTAAAAGTTTACATATCATAAAGCATAAAATTTACCCTTGCAAAGTGTACAAGTCTTTGTTTTTAGCATATTTTACAAGGCAGTTCAACATCATAGCTACTTACTTCATGAGCATTTTCATCATTCCAAAGAAGAAACAAGTAGTCTCAATACCACTAATCTTTTCTGTATGTTCTTCTATTTTGAACATTTTATATAAATGGAATAATATGATATGTGGTCTTATGTAATTGCATTTTTCCATTTAGTATGTCATTTAATTTAATCATGCTATGGAATATATGCATATTCCTTTGTTTTTTATTGCTATATAATATTCCATTGTATGGATAAACTATATTTTGTTAATCCATGCCCAATTGTGCGAATATTTGGTTTGTTTTCGCTTTTGGCTTCTAGGGGTAATGTTGCTATGAAGATTTCTGTACAAGGTTTTACATATATATTTTTTCTTAAAAATTTCAGCACTGAGAAATGCAAGTGCTGGCTCATACAGCAATTCTATGTTTAACTATCTGAGGAATTGTTGAAAACCTTTCTACAAGTGCTGCACCATTTTACATTCATATCAGCAATATATGAGGGTCTTAATTTCCACACATCCTCATCAGCACTTGTCATTGCTTGTCAGTTTTTACTTTCACTGTCCTTGTGGGTACAAAATTATATTACCACTGAGACTGATTTGTATTTTCTCTATTAACTACTGATACTGAGCATCTTTCCAGGTGCTTTTATTGGACATTTGTATATCTTCATTGGGGAAACTTCTATTCAGATAATTTTCTATTCTGTAACGTGGTTCTCTCTTTCTAATGTTGAATTGTAAGAGTTCTTTATATATTCTAGAGTTTTACAAGACATATGACTTGTAAATATTTTCTCTCATTCAAAGTTATCTTTTTTCTTTCTTGACTGTATTTTTTAAGGCACAGAATTTTTCAATTTTGATGAAATCCAATTTTTTCCCTTTTGGTTGATTCTGGATTTACATGTCACAGTGTTGCCTACTATAAGGTCATGGATGTTTACAACTTAAATTCCTTTATGAAACTATATGGTTTTGGCTCTTACATTTAGGCCTTTGATCCATTTCAAATTAATGTTTGAATATGTTATGAGGGAAAGGCCCAGATTTACTATTTTGTATGTCAGTATTCAATTTATCGGTACCATTTCCTGACTGCTCTTTCCTAGTTGAATTATCTAGACACCCTTCTTGAAAACTGACCACACACATGAGTTTATCTCTGAGCTCTTTTTTATTTCATTGACTTATATGCGTATTGATATGCCATTCCAAATAGTTTTGATTATCATAGCTTTGTAGTATGTTTCAAAGTCAGGAACTATAAGTCTTCCAACTTTTTTTCTCACCACCTGTTTTTGTTTATACAGTTTTATATGAAGATAGCCACACTACTCATTTCTGTATTTTCCATGACTACTTTCATCTTTCATGGTACAGGGAATAGTTGGGTAGTTTGGAGAGTGCCCTTACATCGTGTACACTAATCTATATACTAGTCCACAACATGTTTGCTAATCTTTGTTCTATTTCATGACTGTATCCTTCTGGTAGATATAATGCAAACCAGAGTTGATGTCTGGTAAATATTTAAGGAATGAATAAATGAAATGACATTTTATTTGACTTTGACATTCAAATTCACATTTCTTAGTGAACAAGATGTATAATTTATGACCTCATTTAGACATATATTCAAAAATCTTCAGTGAGCACACACCAAAGGTGTCCAATCTACTTGAGAAGGGAGATACCTATAAAAACCCAGGGTAAACATTTCTCCAGTGAAGAGAGGCAAATGGCTAACAAGTATATGAGAAAGTGTTTGGCATTACTAATTATCAGGGGAAATGCAATTCAAAATAATGAGATTTTACCTTCTTCCAGTTAGAGTGGCTATAATCAAGAGGACCCCCCCAAAAATAAACCTCACCAAAATATAAAAGTTAGAAAAGATATAGACAAAGGGAAACTCTTATGCATTATTGGTGGGAATACACACCAGTCCATCCATGGTGGAAAACTATATGGATGCTCCTAAAAAAATATAAGTAAAAAAATATGATCCAACAATCCCACTATTAGGTATATATGCAAAGAAAATGAAATCAGTAAGTGGACAAGACATCTGTACTCCTATGTTTATTGGAGTACTACTCATGATAGCCAAGGTGTGGAATGAAACTAAATGTCCATCAATAGATGAATGCATAAAGTGTGATATATGAACAGAGTGAAATACTGCTCAGCCATAAAAAAGGATGAAATCTTGTCATTTATCAATTGTAAACAACATGGATGAGCGCAGAGGGAAATAAGCTAGGCAAAAGAAAAGATATTAAATTAGAAATTTAAAAAGTTGATATCATAAAATTGAGAGTAGAGTATTAGTTACTAGAGGCTGGGAAGAATAGAATGGAGAGGCAGGGAACACAGGGGAGAGAGTGTCCAATGGACATGATGTTAAAGTTAGGAGGAGCAAACACTAGTGTTCTATTGCATAGTAGAATGATTATGACAATGGGTAACAACAGTGTACTGTAGTTTTCACAGAGCTAGAAGAAAGGCTTTTGAATGTTCTTACCAAAAAGGTGAAGGATATGATAATAACCTTTATTTGATATATATATGTACATATATACATATATAGATTCATATATATACTATATAAAGAAAGAGAGATTTTATATATAGAAAGATCATTCATATATATATATATATATATAGACAGAGAGAGAGAGAGAGAGAGAGAGAGAGAGAGAGAACAAAGGGGTGGCCGTTATTAGTATGCAAACTGCTGCTTGGATAACCTTGGTCATTGACATTGCTGTACACGCATTTTCAGTTTCTTCTCTAAGGGCCGGCAGTGTAATGGGTATTCTGCAATATATTACATCCTCTAGACTCTCACATACAAAGATAACACCATCTGTTGAAAAAAAATCATACTATTTTTCTTTTTTTGAAGTGTGTATATATTTTTAGTGGGACTATCATCTGTCTGTCTGTCTATAATATAGCAGGAGCAAGAAAAAGTGAAGGGATCTGAATGTGATATCAATTACCATAGACAGTGAAGCTTATGCATTTATATCAAATAATATACTAGTAGAAACAATTTCTTGCAGTGTGTTGGAATATTTGAACATTGTCCTTCTAGAGAAAGAGAATTACCATTTTCAAAATATCTTCATAGTACCCAGACACTGTTTCATGAATTAAATTAACATTCCTGGATATCTTTTGAGTCTGTGACTGCACTAGGAGCCAATAGATGGGAATACCATGACTCAGAGGGATGATATGACTTCCTTAAAGTCAAACAACAAATGTTAGAGGATGGATTTTAGTCTAGGTTTGGCTGAGTCCACTCTGAGCTTTCTAAGTCTATCTATTGGCCATGAAAATAGATATTTACCTAGAAATTTTGATACTGTGCTCTTTCTGTGCAAGAAGATCCATTATGTAATGAGTGTGGATCCTTGTAACAGTTTCAAACTACTTTAAAAAATGTTCATGATGTGAATTTTAAATGAATTAGCTTTGACTTCAAATTTCAAGGTGCATTGGCAAAGTTTTTAAAGAGCAATGATATAAAAACACAGAGAACAGCTATTCACTCCCTCTGCACCTCATTGTCTCCAAGGATTCACATCTGCATTTGGTTATTTGGGTCATGTTTTCAGTGGTAGCTATTCTATAAATGTAAGCAATTTCTATATCTATAATTTTTCAAGGATGCTCAGTATCGAACTTGAGCCAATCTCCCACCTCATCAACTTTGGTTTCTGATTTTAGAATTGTCAGACAAATTATGAAAGAACACTCAAGTTTTTTATTCAGTGGACTTGTTATCCTCATAATCTAATTTCCTGATTGCTTCTTTTCATCTTAAAGGGAACTTGTGAGATTGACCATATAAGTGAGACCTTATAGTATTATTCAAACTCTTAGCTATTTGGATATTTGCAGTTTTTTTCCCCTCAGAATCTGTAGGATTAGACACATTTTTTTTTAGCATTTCCTCCCTGAAAGAAGTCTTTTCTCTCAGCTTCCTGTGCACCTACTTATTCATGCCTCAGACAACACTGTTCCTGTTGTCTTTGATCACTGTTCAGGCATGGGGGGCTCCCTAAGGCTCAGCTTTTTTGACTTTGACCTTTCTCTGTGTCCACTAACCCATAGGGTTTGCACTCATGCTATGATTGAATGGAGATGATGCTCCATGTTCTCTGCCTCTAGGCTGATTTTTCTCCCTGATTCTAATTCTGTATTTATCATAGTGTCTGCTGTGCATTTTTACCAAGTTACTTTTCCTTTGGCACCTCACCCATTAATTCAAAACATATTTTGAGCTCATTCTTACTGGGACATACTTAAAAATTAAAAAGAGCTAATTATATTCTGCCTACCACAGATTTGAATCTTTGTTCTCTTAGCATTGCAGACAACCTTTGGTTGAATTTCATCCTCTCTTTTCTACTAAATTAACTTTGTTTGTCTCTTAATATCTCCCTTTCAGACACTCAGGCTAGAAGCCATCTAGGACTTTCCCAGTCTCCTAGAAATATCAAAATATGCGCTAGGTCCTGCTGATACTTCTCTCTGTCACTGCAAAATCTAACTTTGTCACCTTCTGCTTTAAAAACTATATCACATCCATAAGTTTTCTCTGCTCTTTCCTTGCTCTCTGTTGCACAGATTATCTTCCTTAACATACTTTATTAATCATCTAGACAGCTGGATATTATTTATTTGCTTCTATGTTCAAAAGCTCTCCTTGATTTCTCACTGGCTGTGGGATGAAGGTCAGCCTCTGACATTTGAGACCTTATGTGATCTGACCTCAGTAAGAGCACCAGGGGCAATAAAATACTAGCAACTGTTGCTGGTTGTGCTTCTTCCTGTCTGAGAAACATGAGGACGTATCTTATACGTCTGTAATTTCATATAATTCTTAAAGAACTGGGCACTAGTAATGTTCTGGTTTAAAAGATAAACGTGCTGAGACAACAATACACTGTAGGATGCATAATAAGGCAATAATACTATTAACACTCCAGCTTAAAAGATAAAACCTCAGTTCAAAGATATTGGTGGATTTCCCAGTAATTGTACTCAGGACTTTCCAAAATCAGAACCCGTGCTCTTAAATTATATAAAACAATATCTTGACTTGTTATGTTTCCTACAATCTGTTGTTGTCATGGCAGTTAAATAGTAAGCTCCCTGGTGACAGGAAATAAGTCAAAAAATTTTTCACCTAATGCTGTCTGATGAGAGCTGGAGGCTTTCCTGATGCGTATGAGATGTGTGACCAAGTTTAGTTTTACCAGTGGGTAAGGAGACTCATCATTAAATTTCCGTGAGGAGCTGTGAAGTCAAACGACAACATGGATGAGCCCTTGTTTTGTATCCTATGCACTGATGCATAGTGGGTAGTCTCTCTTTCCTGGAAAGAATGCTATTTAGGATTGGAAGATCTCAGCTCCAACACTGGCTCATCCAGAAACTAGAGACAGACCATTTTTGAATCCCATCTTTTGTAATATAGAATAGTGAATCCTCTTATATCCATGGTCTTTTCTACTATTCTTTAATTTTAATCATCAATGATCAAACCATATGACTTCTGTAATACGTAAGTATTCTCTTTTAGAAAAACCCAATTAAGACCTCTAGGAGCAGGAAGCTAGCCAATTATGAAGCACTGCGCTCTACCAAATTAACCTAATCCATATTTCGTGTTCTCCATTTGAGAATGGTATGGTGTAATGAAAAGGGAAAGGGCTTTGAAGTTCAACAAACTCATTAAAATTAAAGCTGCAATATTTACCAACTCCAAGTTTCTGGGCAAGTTATTTTTCCTTGCTACACCTCAATATATACATGCTTCCTTTCCCATCTCCCACTTAACCTTGCCATGAAGACATCCCAATAATATTCTGGAAACTCTTCTGTCTTTTGTTAGAAAAAAAGATAAACTTTCTAGTAGCCAGGAATAGGTAAATTGTTCCGGTTGTGATTTTAGGCACTGCGGTCAGTAAGTTCTGGGAAGAATGCCCTCCAAGTACGGGGCCAGGCCTGCCTGGTATATGGCCCCTGGAATTCAGAGTCAAGTTATTTGCAAGTCAATATAACTAAACAAACCAAAGAGACTCACTGAAAATATAGTTAACAGTTTTCTTTAAATAGAGAGAAAACTGAATTTTAGGGTTATAAATAACCTTTGATGATGAATTTAGATAAACTTGAAAGTATTTAATATTTCATATGCAAAAATTTGGCAAAACTTTAATGCATTTGTGACTTTGTGAGTAGTTTGGGAGCAAGGTAAACTCACTTCCCAAATGCAATTTCATAAATATTCAAATATGGGTGATTGTAGTAAATATGGAGAAATATGCAACACATTATTATACTTCTCAATCAAATATGCTAAACAGTTTTGTCATTCATTGTACTGAATACAGTATTCCAATGTTTCAAAATGATTCCTATAAAAGATTCATGTACGAAGCTTGAAAAGTAAATTTGATTAAAAAAAACTGAGCTCCAGTGATTTGTAGAAAAAGTTACTTTAAATATAACAGAGAAAATACTCAGATATTAAGCTACTCTGAATGTCTTCATCTAATTGCCTCATTTGCATTCTGCTTAGGTATTCAATTGATCGTCATACTGACCTCGACAGGTTTTTCACTATTAATCTAGAGGATGGTTTTATTAAAACCACAAAACCTCTGGATAGAGAAGAAACTGCCTGGCTCAACATCTCTGTCTTTGCAGCAGAAATCCGTAAGTATTCTCCTAAGGGCTTTGATTTGACTTACTAGATATTAATCCTTCAGATTCTCTCTATATTCTGGGAAACAAAATAGCTGAAAACGGTTTTGTTAAATAGTGAAGGTTTTTTTAGTCTTTAAAATTTATTTTCAGATAAAATAAGAATGTATAGGCAAATAGAGATGCTTTCATTTTGTTTGGCAGAATTGGGTTCAGACTTGGCAAGATAGCTGATGGGCCTCAGCACTTTAAAATCCATGATCATCCTGGTAAATCCAAAGCAGAGCTTTACAGCCAAGACTTACAAATTTTTATTTACCTATAGAACAGCAATTCTCAAACTTAATCATGCATGAAGCACTCCACACATCTAATACATGGCTTATCATAAATATTTCGGGACCCTATTCCCGGTGCCTCTGATTCAGTAGATCTGGCACGTACCCTAAGAATTTGTAGGTCCAACACATTCCCAGATGGTTTTGATGCTGCTCTAAGGGTCCCACTTTGAGAACCACTATGATAGACTGGGGTCTGGACTGTCCAGGCTCTGTTATTAGCCTTTAAAATTAAAACTCCACATCAACATCAGTAGAAGTGGATAAGTGGTTTAGTTCTTCCTGCTGTAGTTGACATTTATCCCATGTCACACTCCTTGCACTAAATTTAACCTACTAAGGCTCCTAGATGGGTTTTGTGCCAACAATGCCTTTCCATGAACTACTCAAAGGAGTCGTTGAGCTTAGTCTTTCCGAAGAGTGAACCGGGCCCAGTGTATAGCTGCTACCTAGCATTTGTTTACTGTCTCCATTCTCTCCTCCCAGACAACCGACATCAGGAAGCCAAAGTCCCAGTGGCCATTAGAGTGCTTGATGTCAATGATAATGCTCCCAAGTTTGCTGCCCCCTATGAAGGCTTCATCTGTGAGAGTGATCAGACCAAACCACTTTCCAACCAGGTAATGCTGCTCTCTCCCTGGCTGTGAGCAAGGCATTGGGAAGTAGAATTTGATTTTGAAAATATCAGGTGAGGAGGTACATTCCTGCTGCCCAAGGAGGTTTTAGAGCCCTAGATTTGCCCCGAAGATCTAATTGTTCTCTAATTAAAACTCAGCTTTTTAGCTATCCAGGAATTTTTGAATAGATGATATGTTAATGTCATGATGATGTATTATGGACCACCTTTCTCTTTCAGCCAATTGTTACAATTAGTGCAGATGACAAGGATGACACAGCCAATGGACCAAGATTTATCTTCAGCCTACCCCCTGAAATCATTCACAATCCAAATTTCACAGTCAGAGACAACAGAGGTTTGTACCAAGGTTCCTATTCATTCAGAGAAGTAGAAATGGAAAACAAATGGATTTTATATTGCCCAGCACAAATATTTTCACTAATTTTAATAATGCCCTCCTGTTGAAGCACAAACAAGAAATAATAATGCAACCTCTCTTTTGACTCACGGGTTCATTTGATGCATATGAACAAGTGAATCTAATTTTATGTTCCTTCTTTTATTGGCTTTGATATTCATGAAACAGTGGGAATGCCAAGTGGGGAAGCTCACAGGGTCAATATGCAAACAACTCCATTTATCTTTTTGGAAGAGGTTGATAAACCCTTGGGGGAAGTGTGGCTTTATGAATATTGATATCAAGTAAAGCACTGAAAGAGATTAGTTTAACTTTGTATGGCAATATAATCTTTGAAGCACAGGTCTTCCTTTCCAAAGCACAGTTATAATGTAGTGTGGCTGGATACAGAGCTTGCTACCTAGAGGTGAAGGGCATGAAACAAAGCACTGTTTATCCACTGGAAAAAAGGTAAAATGTAATATGATTTCTGCATCTCATTTTGTCAGGCAAATAGGTTCTAGATTTAGAGCTTATTAAAAGTAGATGATATTGTTGTAAAGCCCAGAATGTACAGTTCCTGCACAAAGTTCATGGCAGGGCCTGGGAGAAAAATAAACTTTTCAACTCTCAGCCACTCTATTTTGATCAGAGTGTTTCTTCTTAATGGAAATCGTCCATATAAACCTGGGAGCATGCTGGTCTGTGAAGGAAGGGAGACAATTGCCGTTATTTCAGATAGGAGTAAAGGTAGCAGTTCTGAATATAGAATTTTCTTTAGCTCCAAATGTCCAAGATTGCTTTCCTGATGACTGAGAAAGATATTTAGAATAATAAATATTGTTATTTTCTCCTCTCATTGTTACCACTGTCATCAGTAACATTATGCTGATGGCTTTGTTCTAAGCACCATGCCAAGGCCCTTTGCTATTCTGTTCACTTAATTCTCTTAACACCAGAGATAGGTGTTATTATTAGTATTCCCATTTTACAGACGAGAAAAAGATACATAGCTGTCCCAAACTCAATCAGCGAAATAGAAGTTAGATCTGGGTTTTAAACCCAGGTACTCAGTATCTCTGTGCTAGTCTCTTAACTTTACTGTCACACTGATTACAGCAGAGAAGTGCTCCCTGGGCTACTCAGGTTTTAAAAGAATGTGATTTGACACTCATTTTTATTTCTTGAAGTAATTTGAGTTTTTACGTATGGGCTTTATAAATCAAGCATACACTGAATGAGACAGTTAAAATGCTCTAGGTTTTATAGCAGAGCCTTTTCTCTCTAGATGCCTTACTTTCCACAGTGAACTTGCTCTTAAGAGCCAAAGTGGGGAGGAAGTTACATGTAGAGAAACATGTGGTGTAAAAGCATCCTTGGAGGGTCCAGGATTTAGCTCAATGGTTTTGCCACCTGCTGCGCAAGCTCAAGGACCCGAGTTCTGATCCCCAGTACCAAAAAAAAAAAAAAAAAAATCCTCGGAGAACAACCCATAATGTGATTCATAAATTATTTCCATGATTTTGAGACAGAAATGTTATTTATAATTCTTTAATGTTGTGCCCAAGCTAGGAGTTTTCTTTTACTTGTTGGCTTGGTTAATGTGAACAGGGGACGCAAGTCCTTTAAAGTGATGATTCTGCCCAGCACTAAGCTGGATGGGAGTACATACCACACACACACATCGGGAGGTACACAGATGTAGTAGAGGAATTTTCTTTTGTAATTATGGGTTTTCCCAAAGCAGGGACACTCCAGCATGTGTTCAGCTCTTAATGAGTGTGTAACAATCTGAACTGAACAAGGTACTATAACTAGAGTTTCCATAAGGTTTTCTAAGATACATGTACGTTTGGGTTCATAAAAATCCCTGCTTCCACTCAGAATATTCTGTCATCCCAAATTAGTTTTTGGCTCTACCCAGAGTTGGCAGATTGCTCTATTTTTCCAGCATAGGTTTGTGTCAGTTTTCTGATAAAAAAAAAAATGCTTCTTACAACATATTTCACAGTGTGTTCACCTTTGTCAATAATGAGGAAAATTGCTCAGGTATCCAGAAAACTCTGGTGATTCCACATGCTTGTTGTGCCACGAACTTTCCACAAAACGTAATTTTGATTAATTAATTGAAACAGAGTCTCACTGCCCAGGCTGTTTTCTGTAATACCTGTGGTCCAACTTCTATATGTGTGTTGCTGTTGTCCCCAACTTACTTTTGACATCTAATTCCTGGGTCTGCTCCAGCTAAGATCGCTGATTATCATGGAACTCCTTCTGCAAACAGCCAACTCTTCCAGACTGTACCCCCTGTGTCTAATTCTTCTGCACCACCTGCCCTGTGCTTCTTTGTGTATGGGTATCACGTTTGGTTACTGTTATCTTTATAAACAGTACACTAATTCATATTGTTGTGAAGGGGTTACTTTGTACCAGTACTATTTGGATGTCATCTATATTTTCATGGAGATTATATCACTATGGTTAAGGTAACTGTCTACACAATCCATTTCCTCCACCTTTTTTTGTAAGAGACTAACCGTACTATTGAGCTAACAGTTTTGCAGAGAATTGCTACTTTTTAAGAAAAATTACTTTATTAACTATGGCAAACAGTTAATGAAAACTCCCATGTTTAGAGCTATTACAAAACCTTAAAGCAAATACAGTCCTATAATTATCATTTAATAGAGTTTCTTTCTACTAGCTCCTAAAAGTAATTACATACTGAAGTAATCCAAAAGGAGTAATCACATTCCACATCCTATTAATAGCCTACTGAGTTACCAAATTTCTCAGCTGAGACTGTTTTCCATAGAAATCATGAGATAATGGTTTATATCATGCTGAGTAAAACCATCAAGTTACTTTCTCCTTGAGTGTTTGCTTCCATTATGCCATGTAAATAATTTCTATTGTGTTTGCCTAAATTCGGCATAAGCATTTGGAATCTTTAGAAATATAAGAGGGAAAGCCATCTTAATACATAGAAGCCTTTTTATTTCATTTTATTTTATGCCATACTACAGTTTGAGCTTCAAAGCTGACTCAGTGGGCCGCAAGAAAGCAGAACACTGAATTAGTCTTCAATATTTAAGTCCATCTTGGGCTATTAATATCAAGAATGATGCTGTTTGAGCAGATGAAGAGCTGATCCACCCAGGATTTAAGATGCACTTACTTTGGAAATATCAGGCTTATAACAGCTCTAAAAATACAAGAAATGTGTAATGGATAAGAAAAGTGCAAGGGGGAGAAAAATACCCCCAAAGACTGAGACTAATCCCTCTTGTCCTTCCAGCTCTTTATTGGCTTAAAAACAACAACAACAACACTTTTAAGACCCTTTGTTTCACCCGGTTTTTGAAACATTTCCATAAGGAGAATATGTAATATGTTGTATATTTTTATTTGAATTTCAAAGGAAGCAAGAATGTGGGACATCAGAACGGTCAGTGACTTTTTCAAGGTCACATTGACAATAGGTTAGGAAACTAAGTTTGGGTGTTTGAAGGGCTCTGCCAGTTGTGTGTTACATGCTGTAAAATGAACATGAAGCTCCTGTTTTTGTTTCTTACTTCTTTTCAAACGGTCTTTGTTTACCTCATAGCATATAATAACAATCATCTGAAAGGAAAATTCTGCAATTCAATTCATCAATCTAAGATTCCAGGGAAAATATAAACAGAAAAGGACAAACTACTTCAATTTCCATTTTAATCACAGCCACAATAATTGTAGTAAAATATGTTTGCAAGAATTTTATAATTTTCTCCTATTGAATAATTAATACATATCCCTTGTAGTAAAATTAGAAAACACAAACAAGCAGAAATAAGATTTAAAAATAACTCAAAATATATTACCAAGAAATAATCACTGCTATTTTATATACCATTCAGTTCTTTTTCTTTGAATATATTTCTTTCTCTAAAAAAATGCAATTTTTAAGTATAGGTTCATTCTTTTCCCACTGATTGTATGATATTCATTTTTTTGCATAAATATATCAATTAGAATTCTTTCTAATTGTCTTCCTAAACTTGTGCTATATGATATCACCTTACTTTTGTTGACAATAATTTGAAGGTTTACTTCCTTTTTTGGTTTAACTACAAAGGTAAATCTCAGATAAGTACAACTAAGACATTTTATCTGACATTTTAAAATTTAAAATCATTTCATACATGTCCATAACATATGTTGATCATATCCATGCTCTCTATTTCCCTGCCTTATACTTAACTCACATTTATCCACTCCTGCTGGGTCTCTTCCACTTTGCTGAGTACTGACCAGCCTAACAGGGATGAAAAGAACATTTCTCCAGGTTCTAGCTTTGTGAGGCCCAGCTTAGGACAGGGAGGGGGACAACAAGGATCAGGATGGTTCTGTTCTCTTGTGCTCTGTTCCAGGAAGTGTTCTAAGACTGGAAATTTAGCAGCAATTAATACACAATCTCTAACATCAGAGAGTTTTCAAAAGCACATCAAGGAAAATTAGTTATCTTGCAAAAGCATACCTAATATTAATAGTTGTTTGTTATTCACCTCTCTGCTACTGTAACAAAATACCTGAGGTGATAAAATTTTTAAAAAAGGAAGGGTTTATTCAGTTTTGGAGGTTTCAGCTGCATTTGGGGCTGTGATAAGGTAGGACATCAAGGATGAGAGCATATGGCGGAGCAAAGCTGATCTTCTCATGGTGCCCAGATAAGCAAAAGAAAGAGGAGAGACGAATATCGTTCAATTCCCTTTAGAGCCCACCCCCATAAACTGACTCTCCCACTAGGCCCCACATCTTAAAGGTTCCCCACTCTTCAGAGTGCCAAGCTGAGGATCAAGCCTTTATTCCATGGGACTTTGGGAGACGCTCAATGATCCAAACTAGAGCAAGTGGCTGTTAAAGAATTACCTGCAGAGGAGCTTTGACTACATGATTATCTCCAAGTAGGTCTACCT